GTTATTTATAGCTATTTTATAGTGTTGTTAACTTTTTATTCATTATTTATCATTAATTAATTAATAATTTGTTGTTGATTATCTCATTTATTTGTGTCTGTATGTATATTCTTTCTTAATTTGTTTATTATTTACTTTATTTATTTAGGTTTTTTGTTTAATTTATTTTTTCGGGGTTTGGTTATCTATATATATATATATATATATATATACATATATATATATATATATATATATATATATATATATATAATATATATATATATATATATGTGTTTTTGCATAAAACTATATATGATTGTGTGTTCATGTCTGTTTCCGTGTTCATAACTATCTATGATTGTGTGTTCATATCTATCTATCTATCCATCTATCTATCTATCTATCTTTGTTTGTTCTATCTATCTATCTATCTATCTATTTGTTTACTCTGAATGATGTAATGTTTACTTTGAATGATTTAATATTTACTCTGAGTGATTTAATGTTGACTCTGAAAGATTTCATGTTTATTTTGAATGATTTAAAAAGACTAATAATTTCTTATATGCGACAATAGGGACAAAAAGCATCAATTACAACACATACTGAAAATACAAGCAATGAAAATGAATAATTATTTACATATACTGTTAAGAATAGCCGGCGATTAGTTGGCAAAAAGAAAAATATAAGTTGGCATATGAATTTTCGTTTTTCTTAAGCATGTTCCTTTTTCCCCCACTTTCTATAGCCAAATGCTTTCATTTGCATAACTACCGTTGTTCGCTGTCTTGCGCGTGAGCACATTTGAAGCCCACCTCCACCCCCAAACACACACACTCTCTCTCTCTCACACACACACACTTTTTCTCTGTGTTTGCGTGCGCGTGTGTACGTGTGTGCGCTGGATCAGAAATAAGCCAGTTACGCTGGCGAGGGACGGAGGAGGAGCTGCTGAGTCGTAATATTAAGTATTACTGTTCAGCTTCTTAATCTCTCGTTACAAATCTTTGTCTCTTTCGTTCTCTATCTATCTATCTATCTATCTATCTATCTATCTATCTAACTTTATGTGTTCTCAGTCTGTACATTATCTGTCTACGTATCTCAACCTTTTCATACTTATTTATTTTTCTATGTATCTCAACCTTTTCATATCTATCTATCTATCTATCTATCTATCTATCTATATACCTCTTGCTTTATCAATTGTGCTAGCTAGTTAGCTACGTCTGATCATATATCTTTATATCTAAGTCTGAACTTTATATATATATATATATATATATATATATATATATATATATATATATATATATATATATATATATATATATATATATATATATATATATATTATACATTTTCATGTAGGTAAATCTAGATAGAGTTATATTGATTATTCACGCATAGATATTTAGCTTAGTTAGAGTGCGTTGCCTGATGAAAATTTCAGTTCATTGCCCTCGAAATTAAAGGTTTCACCTTATCTCTCTCTTTCAATATATATATATATATATATATATATATATATATATATATATATATATAAATTCCATGTCAATACTATTTATACCAGTTTACTTCTATCTATATTTGTCTATCTCTATCAGTTTATTTCTTTCTTTTCTTCTATCTATCTATCTATCTATCTATCTACCTATCTATCCCCCTTTCTTTTTCTCTGTATATATATATATATATATATATATATATATATATATATATATATGTGTGTGTGTGTGTGTGTGTTTGTGTGTGTACTTTATATCTATGTGCGTTTCTTTTTGTCTGTGTCTGTGTTTTGCGTGTGTGCTTCTGTTTACGTGTGTGTGTGTGTGTGTGTGTGTGTGTGTGTGTGTGTGTGTGTGTTTATGCCCAAATGTGAAATCAAGCCTGATTGTTACCCTCTGTTGATAAAGTATGTTACGCTGGATATGGTTTTCTTATTGAAAGTTTTCTTTTTCTAATTATTTCATTCTGCGTGTATTGTATCCATTCTCTATATAGCTTCGGACTTGGGGTGGATCTGAATTAGGCTTGGAAATGATTTAATCCATGCCTCGTACTGGCCGGAAAATAGTGCGCATTGGCCTCGGTCTCAACGGCCAGGAAGTGCAATTTCGATTGAAATAACCGGCGAGACACGGAAAAAAGAAAAAAACAAGGTCTCTGAACAGAGGAATCAATCTGGTTAAATGCCGAAATACCTTTTAGTCACGACACGTGCAAATCTATCTATCTATCTATCTGATTATAAATAGTAATTTTCATATATATATTTTTTTTTCCTGGACACCTCGAGGTGTTGTAATAGGTAGCAAGCTTGTCTCGCAAAAACAATTACGAATGAGTAGTAAGTTCGATCCTCACTGGGTGTCCTTTTTCTTTGTGGAAAATCACTCTATATATATATATATATATATATATATATATATATATATATATATATATATATATATATATGATCTATTTTATAGACATACATATATATATATATATATATATATATATATATATATATATGCATACAGAGAGAGAGAATTATAATTTTGCATGAGCGTAGCAATTTCAAAACAAACTCTTATACTTGCTAATACCAAAGTGGGAGAACGAAAGACGAAAAGAAAATCTCTTTTTTTCTTTATTTGTCTGTCTGCACACGCGTGCACACATACACACAGGCAGAGACTCTCGCACACACACAGAGACTCTCGCACGCACACACACGCGCGCACACACACACACACGAACACACACATAAAGTGAAAGGGATACCGAAGCAGTTTCATAATCATTACTATGAATATTTATAATAGCAAAGTCGAAAGGGAGACTGAGGGGGGGGGCATTTCTCTCTCTCTCTCTCTCTTCGGATCTCTTTCTCTCGATATATATATATATATATATATATATATATATATATATATATATATATATATATATATATATATATATGTACTAATTTTAAATGGACTATTAATTTCAGAATATGTACTTATGAATATTGATATAAGTGCTTGATTGAAGAAACTTTGTAGTGAGTGAAAGAAAGACAATCGTCTGAAACTTGTATTGAATATATCTGCTTTTATATAATGAGTGTTCAAAATCATATTTATTTATAGATTAGGAGTATTTGCGTATTCACTTAGCTGTGCATCTTCCATGAATCACACCAACAATTTTATCTTGATCATATCAACATCGATCTGTACATATATATATATATATATATATATATATATATATATATATATATATATATATGCAGAGAAATCAATAAACCTATTGGTTGGATAATTGTGGATGTTGACACGCAGGACTGAATTCAATATAACGGAATGAGAACAATCCACCTCCCGTAAATTGAATAAAGGATTCGATTCGAAAATCCCACAATATTAATGACTACGATAGACACCCGCAGAAGGCCGGAGATTTCAACTGTCAAAATGATGTGTCTATAGAAATGAAGGAGGCCAGTGTGACTAAAAAATAATTCTTAATGATAATTACTCATCAAGAAAATTCAAACCGTATGTATATTATATATTACAAATTTAATAATAAAAAACAGTAATATACATAAAATGTGTATGTATGCTTGTGTGTGTATGCGCGTGCGTGTTTTTTTTGTGTTCGTGTGTGCGCATGCGCAGGAGATTAACGCTTGTCACTGCAGAGAAACATTCAACCAAACAAGTTCGAGTGTCAGACGAGTCAGTTTTTGTCCACACAGCATTAACGTCTATGCTCCTTTAGCATTAATAAACTTGCAAAGGCATGAACCCATAGCTTTTCAATCAATGCGTAACACAGCATATATTTGTAGACAAAAAAAAAAACAAACCAAAACAAAACAAACATCGTCGCCGATATGTCACAATGGCTGACGAGAGGAAAGAGATTAAAAATAAGTATTTTGGAAACCAGGAAAACACTCCTATAACTAGAATCCCACCCATTTAAAACCTGTTACGCCCATTAGCAGGGGCCATCACACACACACATACAGAGAGATAGAGAGAGATGGGAGAGGAGGGGGAGAGGGAAAGGAGGGAAGTGATGCGTGCGAATTCACACACACACACACACAAACACACACACACTCACACACACACATATATATACATACATTAAAATACTGATTTTAATGTATGGTATATTTCTGGGTTAAATTGCTTAGTATCAGTGATATAGTGTATGTAAATCTAAAAGCGGACACTGAAGTTAATACCCAGAGGCCTGACGATTGCGTTTAGCATGAAATAGACAGTCGCCACTGGGTGTTGAAATCAATGTCCACTTTTACACACACACACACACACACACACACACACACACACACACACACACACACACATATATTGCGTATTGTGGGTTCGTTCGTGTGCATCTAATTTTTTACTAATTCTCACCTAATGCAAGGCCCAAGAACCCCTCAAGTTAAAGGGATACTGTCTGAAGTTGTTATTTGTAACATGCGTTATGTGTATAGATTTGAAGTAGATTTTAAAAGGAAGCGGAAACTGAATCCTAAACAGGAAACATAGGATAAATCTCTACTCTTTTTCAAAAGATAGTTTAAAATTTGGTTTATTTATTTATTAATGGGAGTGACAATATTAGAAATCGGACATTTATAAATTTACACGGTCTTTACATAACATTTTAGACCATGTAATTAATATAAATAGATCGCTTAAGGCATGAAACTGACATTCCCATGAGCACTCTTCCTCAATAGGAAAATTTAAAACAATATATATATATATATATATAATGTGTGTGTACATGTCTCTTTGTGTGTGTGTACTTGTGTGTGTGCGTGTGTGAGAGAGATGCTGACAGAGAGAGAGAAAAAGAGAGTGTAATAGATGGAAAGATAAGAAAACTTTTATGACTGTCACAAACAAAAACGTATGCATTACGTATATATATATATATATATATATATATATATATATATATATATATATATATATATAGTGCATGTGTCTGTGTGTTCTGTCGACATGCATATCATATTTGCCTTGTCTAAGCGAGTTTTTCGGAACACTTGTGCATATCTATCTATCTATCTGTCTGCCTGTTCCTATCTATCTATCTATCTATCTATCTATCTCATTCAGTTTATCTATCTATCTATCTATCTATCTATCTATCTATCTCATTCAGTTTATCTATCTATCTATCTATCTATCTATCTATCTATCTATCTATCTATCTATCTATCTATCTATCTCATTCAGTTTATCTATCTATCTATCTATCTATCTATCTATCTATCTATCTATCTATCTATCTATTTCAGTCAATTCATGACTTTCTCTCTCGCTCGATCTATCTGTAAAATATCTATGTCGCTTCGATCGATTTTTCAAGTTAGTAATGAAAGATAGGAAGTTATGGAAGGCCATGATCACCCAAGTCATGAATGGACACTGTATATAAAATGATTACTTCTCACTTTTTTCTATCTGTCCACATACATACGCTACGTATAACCACACACACACACACACGCATATATATATATATATATATATATATATATATATATATATATATATATAATACTGATACCCCTGACAAGCGGACCAAACAATTGTAAAAAGGATTGTCTAAGAAAAACTGAAGTCGGAGTGCTGAAAATAAAATCATTCAACCAAGTGAAAAATTTTGTATTTGTAATAATCCTATCTGTCTCTCTCCCCCCCTCTCTCTCTCTATATATATATATATGTGATTGAATAAATTACAAATATTATGTCTGTTTATTTTTATCATAATCCTTTCATATTCACAAATATTTTCCTTATATTATAATTAAATAATTAAATAATAATTTTATCCTAATTTGACTGTAATATACGGAAAAATATTCGTGAATATGAAAGGATTATGATAAAAATAAGCAGACATAATGTTTATAATTTATTCAATCCGACATGTCTAAAAGAAAATTTGCTGCCTAAATACACTCTCTCTCTCTCACACACACACATATATATATATATATATATATATATATATATATATATAGATAGATAGATAGATAGATAGATAGATAGATAGATAGATAGATAGATTTTGGAGAGTTTTCCATAATTGTTAACAGTCTTTCCCACATCGGCTGCAGGAGAGAAATGATTAAGACTCAGATCTGCACCGTAAGAGCTTAGGAGGGGAGCAATGTGGTGGGTGAATCAATAAGTCATTAGCCTGATAAGTCATAATCTCTGTCTCATACTTACAGCTGGCACATGTTCGCTTCTGTTAAGATGTGGCCTTTCCGTTTACTATGGCCTGTCTCTCTCTTCCCTATATATATATATATATATATATATATATATATATATATATATATATATATATATATATAATTTCTAAAGACGTGATGGATATTTATTTATTAACCTGACAGATTTTATTACAAAAACGTTATTTTATATATAGTACCTATATTTTAGTATATGATCCGTTTATTTATTAAACAGTATATTTCTTTATTCTCGTTTACCGGCACTGAATATCCGATAAAAATATGCGCTCTCCGCATAGCGTCTACTCAAATTTGTGCATCCCCTAAAAATTCAATAACATTTATATAACATATATAGGTCTATTTAGGTAGCAAGTATTCATTTAAACAAGTTTTTTAAATTCAACCGATAAGATCTCTCTGTTTAATATTTGACTATTTTTTTTTCAATTTTTCGTATAAGATTTTGTATATTTGAAAGGGCAGTGAACGGTTAAACGTATAGACCTTGTTGGTTGGATTTAATATTAATAAAAGCTGTTTAAAATAATTTGGTATACAGAAATGAAAAACAAGATATCTTTTACACATTCCCAGTGAAAGATGTCTATAGGGTGGAGATACGGCGAAGTTACTGTGTATAACTGGTTTTGTAGCCACCTGTAAATACATTTTTCGTTATTGTGCAATGTTTTCTTTTTGTTGTTTTTTTGTCTTCGATTTAACTCTGATGAGAGAGGACCAAAAACCTGTTTACCTATTTTTTTAATCATTGTATTCCGTTATTACCAATTTACGGTAACATATATATATATATATATATATATATATATATATATATATATATATATATATATATATATATATATATATATATATGTATATATAGGGTGTCCATAAAGTTCGTGTGCACTTTAAAATTATAACTTTATTTGTATTTTCGATAGAAATAATTTGTAAAAAGGATTAGAAAGAAGTAAATCTACATTTTTTTAAGGTTTTATTGAAATTTTATTTAATTTTCCACATGTCCTTACGATTTTGCAGTTCACGGAAAACATTTGCCAACTGATTTACAGTAATGCCTGAAATCACATTAGTTATTTTAGCTTTCTAATCTTCTAATAAAATAGGTTTGGTTGCATACACAATTGTTTTCACATGTCCCCATAAAAAAATCTAATGGAGTCAAATCTGGCGAACGTGGAGGCCAATAAAATGGTCCATCCCCTCCGATCAATCTGTTAGGAAATTCTTGATTTTGTGATAAAGAATTATTCAATAACTATACTTAAAACTAGGTACATTAAACTTTATAACATTTTTTACAGATTATTTCTATCGCAAATATAAATAAAGTTATAAATTTTTTAAAGTGCACACGAACTTTATGGACATTCTGTATATATAATTTTTCTTGTCCCCTCTTTTTTGTTATAAATATTCTTTTAAATATGTCTGTTTTTATTGCTGTAATAACATTCTGTACCGCGCCTGCGTAACGTGTGTGTGTGTGCGTGCGCATGTCTGTTCATATTCACTCTTTAGCTCCATTAGTGCCTTTTCTATCTGCATAGTTCAAATCTAACAGGTTGGCATTTTTATTTTATCTGTGTGTCTTTCCACGTTCTCATTGTCAGCGTGTAAAATGATATATGCATAGGCAATATTTTGCAGATGCATTCTGGTGTGCAGTCGATTTCTGCTTCCGACTCCTGCTTTCTTTCCTCATAGACGATGTAACGGTCTCATACATAAACATACATTAGTTGTTGCATGTCTTTTGATACCCACTGAGCCTCGCTAAGTACGACCGATAAAGATTGTGCAGCTTCATTCTACCGAGTGGGAAGAAGCCTGCTTGCCTAGAAAATCAGCAATCAAAATTCTGGATATTTTTCTTCTTTTCGTAAGGCTCGAACACTGATCTTAGATGACGCTTCTTAGCGTTTTTTCTTTTGCATTAGGAAAACTCATTTATCATGTGTCAGTAATGCTATGCCTGATCACCCCCGCCTCTCTCTCTCTCTCTCTCTGAACACATCGTGTGCGTTTTTTTGTTGTTTTTAGCGTTTCTTTCTTTCTTTTCCTGTTTTTTTTTTCACTTCTTTCTTTTCTTTTTTCCATCTTTCTTTTTCCTTCTTGTGTTCTTTTTCTTTTTTCTTCTTTCCTTCTTCCCCACTTTCATTGTTTTTCTTCTTTCTTTCTTTCTTTCTTTCTTTCTTTCTTTCTTTCTTTCTTTCTTTCTTTCTTACACACACGCACACGGATTAAACAGATATGTTGTTTACTTACAATCTTGTATACAAGGAGAGATACACCCTTTGCTAATTTAAGTTTTGTCTTCACTGAATACTCGTCGATTGTAGCCTTATGCCAGACTAAAATCAGTGATGTAATTAGGTAAGATAGCAATGGTTAAAAAGCCACTCGTATGACGCACTCAGTGAGGAGCGAACTCATAACGTAAATGAATCATAATTACAGTGATCATAATTTGAAAAATTGGCGCAACACAATCTTTCAACCTTTATTATTTCTTATCTTTGCACTTGACCATGCCTTATACTATGTGTAGTAAATCTTAGCAAAATACAGATCACTAAGAACTGCGCAAACAATATAAATTTGATTATATAAGCGATAATGAACACACCAGGATCTCTCTAAGATAATAAAAAAAACCATAACATTCTCTGGGATATTGAGATTCAAATACAACACTTAATCCAGATCAGAAGACGAATCTTGAGGGAACATAAATAAGAAAAAGAGAATTACTCTGGGATTCTGGAAGTGAAACATGAAAGCGACAGTTGTACTTATAGTTCTTGGAGTACTTGGAACGGTCCGAAAGACCAGAAGAATTCAACACCCGAAAACATCCAAAAGACAACATTGCTGAAAATAGCTAGAGTGTTTTGAAGGGACTTGTTGCTGCTTGATCTCCAGTAAAATCCATCAATTATAAAAACTCAATTATTATACTAATGGAATCCCTAAAAAGTGTAACATGTTGCACAAAAAAAATTGTAGAAGATGACGGTGACGGTAGTGTCCTTAATAACTAACACACTGGGAATTGTCTCAGAAACCCCAGAGGTAAGATGGGAGGAACTGGAGATCTGAGGAAGAATTAAGATTGACGTGACCACGGCAATATTGCGGTCTGCGTGGATAGTGCGGAAGGTTCTGGAACTTTGTAAAAAGTTGTTGTCATTTAGCCGCCAGTGACAGACGCCATACATTTGATATAAATATACAAATATATGAAATAATAATAATAATAAAGAAGAAGTAGTAGAAGAAGAAGAAGAAGAAGTAGAAGAAGAAGAAGAAGAAGAAGAAGAAGAAGAAGAAGAAGAAGAAGAAGAAGAAAAGAAGCAAGCAAGCATGTCAGCCAGAATGGATCTGAAAGAAAGTGTGAAAAAATATCTAGACTATGCCAGAAAGTTGAGAAAGTTATGAAACTTGAAAGCAACAGCCATGATAGTTGCAATTGAAGCACTAGGAATGGTCTTGAGGAGATGAAACTGGAGTGTCTCTAAGAGTTGGAAGGGAACAATATTGAAAACGGTTAGAGATTACTGCGGAAGGTGCTGAAAGCTAAAGAGAGTACTGAGGAAGGTGCTGGAATATTGAGAGGAGTGTAAGCAACCAGTTGCCAACTGAGGTGAATATTCAATTCGTAAGGAGTAAGAAAGAGGTAAATGCTCTTTTTGTTAGCGTCAAAAGACAGATGTTTTTTTAATTTTAATTTGTTTACGAAATTTCACCTTCAAACGAAACGAAATTTTTGATGTTTTTTTTTTTTAAAACTCTTTTAAATAACACAGAACTAAAGTTGGTATCCAAGCAATGATCCCTGCGATGAATTTAAACGTTTTTACTTGTTTTTTTGTTTTTTTTATTATTTATTCGTGCCAGTAAGAAAACAAATAAACAAGTTGTTACACTTTGATCCGGGGAAATAAGAAAGACTTTGTAATTGCAATGTACTGACAAATGACAGAAGCATGGGGGCTCCTTCGCATGTTTAATTGGCTGTTGTTTAAATGTGGCCCAGACAGGATAAAATTAGCCAATGAATGATCAGTGGCGCAATTGGTTCCGGACAACGTCAGATAACCATTTTGATGATAATAATAATAATAATAATAATAATAATAATAATAATAATAATAATAAGAAGAAGAAGAAGAAGAAGAAGGAGGAGGAGGAGGAGGAAGAGGAGGCTTAGGAGAAGGCAGCGTGCAACCTACCTGATGAACTTCTTGTATGAATGGTTAGCGGAATGGGGGGGGCTTGGCAAAGGGACAAATATTGCTTAAAGCTACAAGTGATAGAAGGTTGTGGAGAGCCATGATCGTCCTCGATTTGAATAAACATGGAACATTAGAAGATGAATGAAGATAATAATAATAATAATTGATATTTAAAAAAATATATTTATTATCGCTTTTCTTGTGACCAAGATAGTGGGGTATTTAATCGAAGTAGCCACACTAGTGGAGGGTTCGCACGGCAATTATTACTCTTCTTCTTCTTCAACAACCGCCATGATTAGCCGTATTATATATCACTAATATTTTTTTTTTATTTTTACTTAAAAAAAGAAACACGGAGAATCATTAAATAATAATAATAATAATAATAATAATAATAATAATAATAATAATAATAATAATGTTTAGGGCGCGTGCATAAAATTGTGTCGAGCATGGTTTGCGCGTGTGCGTCAATGTCACGTTTTTATGGAGCCAATACATTATATGCGTAAAAGGCGTGTAACAGACACACGGACACATTAGCCGACTGAAATACCACCGAAAGAAATGCTAGAGATAGCAAAGGAGAGCGACAACGAGAGAGAAGTACGCGGGGTCGTGGGTAGGGGCAGGTTGCTGAAAAAAAATAGGGAGGGAAGAAGGGAGAGGAAGTGACGGACTAAGGAGAGGGTAGGATAAAAAGGAGAAAGGGGGAAAAAAAGTAGAAAGACAATGAAGAAAGCCTGAGGAACAAAAAGTGAAGAAAAATAAAGTGGGTAGGATAGATAGATAGATAGATAGATAGATAGATAGATGAATAGATAGATAGATAGATAGATATGTACATACTGAGATAGATAGATAGATAGATAGATAGATAGATAGATAGATAGATAGATATGAACAAACGGAGATAGATAGATAGATAGATAGATATGAGAGGTCTGAGATAGATAGATAGATAGATAGATAGATAGATAGATAGATAGATAGATAGATATGAGCAGCCTGAGATAGATAGGCCTGAGATAGATAGATAGATAGATAGATAGATAGATAGATAGATAGATAGATAGATATTTATGAAAAGGACTGAAATAGATATAGATAGATGTGAGCAGCCTGAGATAGATAAATTGATTTTTAGATAGATAGGTAGATAGATAGATATGAGAGGCCTTAGATAGATAGATAGATAGATAGATAGATAGATAGATAGATAGATAGATAGATAGATATGAGCAGCCTGAGACAGATAAATTGATTTTTAGATAGATAGATATGAGAGGCCTGAGATAGATAGATAGATAGATAGATAGATAGATAGATAGATAGATCATGTGTGCGCGTGAGAAAAAGAGGACAACCGTAGAGAGTGTAAATAAATAGTTACTTAAAATCAAAGTGTCAAAATAATTACTGTTAGTTGTCCCAAGTAGTTTACACAGATTTTACAAGCATGAAATTGTATGCTTTTGTGGTTGGAGAATTCTTTTCAGTTCTTAATGAAATAAAAAACAACAACAACAAAAAAAACAAAAAAACAAAAAAAAAACATTGCTTTCTATCTTTAAATAAAAGACCGCTTACAAGGAAAGCATTACAAAACCTTCAGTCCATCACTTTAATCCCAGAGCTCTACCTTCCGAGCACATAATCACATTATACTGGAAAGACCGTGGGGGTCGGGGTCGAGGTCGAGGGTCGAAGACATTTTAGTGGTGGCTAAAAAGGTTGCGTGCTCGGAGTAGGAGTTAAAGTTCTTTCTTTTTTTTTTTTTGTTGTTTAAAATTATTATTAAAAATGAAAATACTGAGGATACGTACACTAAAGAAAAAAAAAGATAGAATGTGAGAGAAGCGTGTGGTTTGGGCATATTAACATTTATATGGGTCATGTACTGCTAAAGCAGTTTTCAGCCGAACAATGATCCTGTAGGAAGAGTGACCCTTTTGTCGGCTTTTTACGAACCTCCGACCAAAACGGGGCGATAGGAAGTGTTGGCATCGCCCCCCCCCGCCCCCGACGAATAAGAGTGAAAAGCAAACGAGTGTGCGTGCCATGATGTTGGGGGAGGAGTGGAAGAAAAGAGAGGAACGGAGATTAATGAATTGGGTTTATTGTGGTATGTCGATATCTGCTGGGGTCATGGCCACTGCTAAAACCGATTTTCTTTTTAAGAGCATAAAGTCTATAGTCTCTAAAACAAACAAAATGTTCTGTACTTCATTTGTTTACAAATGTGGCGTATGGACTGAAAGGGAATTGTCTGTAAGGCGTGTTAAATGTTAATCACGTCCAACTGACTGACGGCGTTGACCCATATAGATGTCAACGTACCATATTATTAATCTATGTATCCATAGAGCTCTTATTTCTGTTGCGTGTGGGCATTTATTGTGAATATAATAATAGATGGACAGGATTAGATAGATAGATAGATAGATAGATAGATAGATGAAACAAACATATATATATATATATATATATATATATATATATATATATATATAGAGAGAGAGAGAGAGAGAGAGAGATAGATAGACACACAGAAACAGATAGATAGATAGATAGATAGATAGATAGATAGATAGATAGATAGATGAAACAAACAGACAGATAGATAGATAGATAGATAGATAGATAGATAGATAGATAGATAGATAGATAGATAGATGAAACAAACACACACACATAGAGATAGATAGATAGATAGATAGATAGATAGATAGATAGATAGATAGATAGATAGATAGATAGACAGACAGACGAAACAAACAGATAGATAGATAGATAGATAGATAGATAGATAGATAGATAGACGAAACAAACAGATAGATAGATAGATAGATAGATAGATAGATAGATAGATAGATAATGAACTGAATAGTTCTAGTAGTTAGATGTTAACAGAGATAGAGACCTAATTTGAGAGAGAAAGAATGATAAATGGACTGACATACATAAACTAGGAGATAGACAGATAGAGAGAGATGAGGGAGAGAGAGAGAGAGAGAACGAGATCAAAAATATTGAGAAAGGAAGTATTTGACAAAAGATCCAGTTTTTTTTAATCAATCTCACTCACTCCACCCCTTTGCACTTTCATTCACTGTGTTTTAGTCGACTTATCTTTTTCTACCCCCTCTCTTTTTTAATAGGCAAATGAATAACGTTTAAAAAGCCACAGAGATTGTCCACAGCAAAAGACGCGTTATATTCTCTCTTCTTTTACGCCTGTTTCTACAAACTTCGAACTCTTCCACTTTCTCTCCCCCTCTCTTTTATTTACTAATGCAAATAATAAAACAACGCTTTTTTAACCCGTACAAGTGACTGCATTTTGACACCCCCATGCTCACCAACAATACACACGCACGAGCACCCACACACACACAAGCACACACAATCTACACGCAAAAATAACATAAATAAAAAATGACAATAATTTAATAATCGTAAGATTTTACAAGCTAATAAAGGGTTAATTTTACATAAGTAATAAATTTAAAATAAATAATTCTATTTGAATATGTAATCAATTTAAAGGTAAACACTATAGGTTGATATATATATATATATATATATATATATATATATATATATATATATATATATATATATATATATATATTATGCTTGTGCATTTCAGCAGCAATCTTTCTCTAATGCATGCTTCATTAATAATGACTGTCAATATCCATCTGTTCATTTTCTTTTTGTATTTTTCTTGATGGAAACAAGAGATTTTTTTCTGGGATATACACTCGTCTATGTGTATATATCTTTCTTTCTTTCTCTCTCTCTCTCTCTCTCTCTCTCTCTCTCTCTCTCTCTATCTATCTATCTATCTATCTATACATAGATGCATATACATACATACAGATATGTATATCGAGTAACCAGAGTGAGATGCATGCTTTGTGTAAGGTAGGAGCAATGCTTTGTAATTACAGTGGAATCATATATTATTGAACCAAAAATGCCTGAGTGTGTGCGCACGCTTATTTCATACAATATTTTTCAATTTGGGGAGATATGGTTTATTCGAATCTGTGAATGAACCACTTATTAGCTAGGATTTATTTACAAACGAAACAATATAACGAAAACCTGAAAAAAAAAACCCCAAAAAACAAACAAATAAAAATGTGTAATACATAAAGGACGTCGAAACGAGTAATTTTTGCAAGTGTTTACGATTTTAAAAGCCATTTCAATTACACTTCCACACACATTGATTGAAATTATTTTATAAGCAAGGTGTAAAAATGCAATCGCGTCTTTTTTTTTTTCTAGATTTAAAATGAAGTTAGAATTTAATCATATATACTTACGCTGTGAAATAGAGAGTGATGGGCACATATATATATACATGTGTATTTTGTTGTTATGTCGGCCTAACAGAAGCAGAGCCACTGTAGTGTGGGTCAACACAAGATACAGCGTCTGTTCCTCCTTAAAATCGTTTATGTGACTATATGAGTGTGCGTGATGTCAATATATATCCAGATAGGTATGTAAGTATGATCCTTCCTTTGCACAAAGGTTTCCGGTGGTATCATGTGTTACTGAGAGTAGGTATCAGTAACTTTTCCTTATTTATTAAAAATATATATTAACACCAAGGAAATTAATTAAGGTGTTATTATTCTTTGTATTAATATTTTTTGGACATGTGCTTCAAGGAACGGACGTCAATATTTTTCATACATACTTTTAAAGTTTTTTTTTTTTTTAAATCTTTCGTTTCTTATGTGATTTTTTCTCCTTTTTTTTAAATAAGAAATCCAATCGAATTTCGTTATCGATTTTATTTTAATTCATTTATAGTTATACACTGTAAATTCCAAGAATTTTCTTTTTTAGTTTCCTTTTTTATTTTCTTTCCTGTTATTTTTTCTTTTAATTTTTTTTTTATAGAAAAGTAAATATATTCCTTCTTTTCTCTTTATTTGGTAATGGTGGCAGGTATATTTTCAGAAAAGGTGTAAAAAAATACAAATAATCCACTGATTATAAATATAAGTAAGTAAAGAAGACTATACCACTGTGTCGGTCGCTGAGGTGGTTTTAAGATCACAGACAGACAGAATATGCTTTTCCGTCCGTTAAAAAATAGCTTTTTTTTTTCTTTTTTTTTAAATTTTTTTTCTCGCTTTGATGATGGATTATCATGAAGGAATAAATAATATTTGCATTTTCCTTTTGTTTTGTTTACTAAAAATTATATTTTTTGTTATGGTTGATAATGTGTAAATCCTCCGAGTTAATGAAGCAGTTAAGATTCTTATGTAAATAATTCCTTTATGGGTTTAGGTACAGGTGTTTACAACACCTTCATGTATGTTGTAAGTTGGTAGTTCCCGATGTTCAGTCGTTGTCGTGTCTTCTATTTTATCGTTACGTATCCAATGAGTAAAAAAAAAAAAAAAAAAAAAAAAAAAAAAAAAAAAAATAGGAACGAATCCTATGTAGGCATAATAAGTACTGAAGCAATCATGTCAATCATTTGACGAACACCAAACAACAGTGTATATATATATATATATATATATATATATAAATATATAAAAAGAAAAAACAGTAACAACGTATCGTTGTTACTACGATTGTCTGTTACTGCCTGTTTTGTTTTGTCGGATTTGCATTGATAATATGTTTGTTACATCTGTGATACACTGTAACTGTATTACGACGCATACACCTACACATAGATAGATAGATAGATAGATAGATAGATAGATAGATGTGTAAAAACCGCGTGTAAATAAATCCTTATAAAGTAGTAGATATATTTCCGTTCATTTTTTTGTATTTTTCCTTGGTTCCTTTTGTTTGAAGTAAAAGTTTGTTTTTTTCGTTTTTTGTTGTTTTTTTTTTTTTGCTGTCTGTCTTTCTTCTGCAATAATTTTTAATATGGGCGCCGCCTCTACGAACGACGTCTTGCTAGTTCGTATTCAAGACTCCAACTGATCACTTTTTCTGCCCTTTGCTGCTTATAGCCTTCTTCCCTTTCTTTCTTTCATTCGTTCGTCTGTTGGCTCGACTGCTCTTTCGTTCTATCATCGGATCTGAACCGCCTTACTCTCCACTTCTACTCAGGCTTCCACTTTGTCGGCCACTACACAGCATTTCTCTTTTCGCTTTTTCTCTTCCTTTTTTTGGTTTCTTTTTTTTTGTTTGTTTTGTTTCTTTCTTTATTTCTTTCTAACGCCGTAGTTGTATTTTATTTTATTCGGTAAAACCCCCAACTTGAAGTACAGAATTAATTCTAGTTCACCCTATCAGTTCTTACTATTACTACTACGACTACCACCAAAACCACCACCACCCCACAACAATAACAACAACAACAATATTAATAATAATAATAATAAACTACTTTTAAATATAAGAAAAGCTTGGAAGGCCTATAAAAGTAAGTCTTGGACTTACTCTATGATTCTTTTTATTTTTAGATTGATAATTCTGTTATATCGTCTTTCTTCTTCTTCTTCTTCTTATTATTCTCCTCCTCCTTCTTTCTACAATGTAGTTGAAAGTGTCATCTGTAAAATGCTATTGTTAATCCGTCTGTTAAATCTCTTTAATCCAATCGTTATTAACCATATAGTTGTTCTTATAAATGAAATGTTAAGCATTTTTTTCTCTTGTACCGCTTTATAATAATGTTATTTATTAACAGTGATTTTTCGTCTATTACCCGTCTTTGCATTCTCTTCTCTTCAGAATTTCTCTCTTTACCTGTAATTTCCGACGTTAGCCGTTAGAAGACGAAATAAAGAAAATAAGAAAAATAGGAGACATTACGGGTCAATAAAATGAGAGTGAAAGGGTTGAAAAGAAAGTGGGGGTCATTTGGAAGAGAGAGAGAGAGAAAAAGAAAGAAAGAGTGTGACTGCTATCGAAAGTTAATTGAGAAAGAAGGAAGAGGGAGTTGAGAGAAGGAAAAGAAAGTTACGAAAAGAGAGGGGAAAGAAAAAGGTTGAGTCAGAGAGAAGAAAAAAGTAAGCAAAAAGAAAGAGAAGGCAATGACTAGAAAGAAAAAAAAAGAAAACAAACAGAAAGAAAAGACAGAGAAGTTAAGAATGTCGATTATTTAAATGACAAAAAGAAGAAGAAAAAAAAGATGGAAGTAAAAGAATAAAAAGAAAACAAAGACACAATGTAAAGAGTTACGAGAAAGGATTTTAAAATGCGGTTTGAACAATTGAAAACAAAATCAGTGATTAATAACAGAAGTCTTAATTTTTATTCGTCATTCGAACATTGCAAGAACAGGCATTTTTTAGACCTTGGAAAACACTTCCGTTCTCAGTTTTGTCCGTTTGTCTAAAAACACATTAAGTTGGCAATACGCCAGGTGGTAAATAAGACCAAGAGAAAATAAAAAAAAAGAAAACGAAGCGATCTAATGAGAGTATAAGTGAAGGAGAGGCAAGCAAAGGAAAACAGAGTTGGATTCTTGTGCTCCATGTCAAAAGAAGTAAACGAGTTCTCTCCCCTTATCGTCACTTAATTTTCTTTCTTTCTTTTTTTTTTAACCTCTTGCTGAATTTAATAGCGTCGCTGACAGTCGATCGAAAAAAAAGAAAGAATTGGAAAAGAAAGAAAGAATGGAACGAATAAAGAAAGAGAGGAAAAAAAGCAGAGGTGAATGAACTATAGTTGAGAAAATAAGGAGTAAAGAGAGAGACAGAAGAAATAATCATGCAAAGAAAGAAAGAGAGAAAGAAAGAAAAGGAAATGTGAATAAGAGATGGAAATATTAATAAGGACGTGTATTAGTTTTTGTGTCAAGTAAGTTCGCAAAAGCGTGCGTGTGTGCATACATTTGCAAGAAGGCATACGTGAGTTAGTGTTACGCATGATTTCACACACACACATCAACACAAATAAAGCTAAAGTAGATACAATAGAGATAAGGGTTCGAGCCTAGTTGAAACACGGGTTTTGAATAATGTTGATTTTTCATGCACATAATCACTTCTTAATTTCTTACTTTTTCTGACCTTGTGCCCGACTAACCTGAGATTTATTCATTAGTAATGAATGTTACGTAAGAATGTCTGGATTTATAATACTATATATATATATAGATATATATATATATATATATATAAATTGGTGTGTGTGTGTGTGTGCATGTCTAGTATGGGTGTTTATCTTTACGCACATGAATAGCATACACATATTTATTTTAAAATTTAAATGTGTACACGTTTATCTACGTTCGGATTTCTATTCATTTCCGTACGTAGCAATGCAAATATGTAATTACACATGTACTTAAGAGAAAGGGGGAGGGATAGAAAGAAAGAAAGTGTGTGTATGTGTGAGAGAGGGAGTGAGAGAGAGGGAGATTTCCCAAATATGTATCTGGAGGTTGTGCCTTGTCACCATACCGACAAAGTACCAATCTGCTTAAATATTTTCGTTTCTTTTTTTTTTTTTTGGTACATTTATTTTGGAACATCCGCAAATGTGCGAATGGATCGCTTGAAATCGAAGAGGCGAGTTTGAATTCCAGTCAAGTTTTGGTAGATTCACCTTCGCGCAAAGACTGTTTCGAAAGGTATGAATGCCTCCTCTATGGATTAAATCGTAGGACAGATTGGTTTCTTGATCTTTGGATGGCAAAAGAAAAGGACAACTCTAATTTCAAAATCGTAGGTAGTCCTGGCGAAGTACATACTATGCAGCTAAATGAGAGAAATATGTGGTTTACAATGACTTTCTGTTTCCGATTGTGGCCGGCCTTGATGATGGTAATACAATGGAACTAGGACCCTCCCTATACGCTAACGACGCAAAGCAAGATACCGACTATTTTTTAGTTATTTTTTTTTTTTTGAAGTCAGCCCTCCTCGTCTTCATTCTCTGATTCGCGCTTGCGGGCGGGCGGACGCTCTTTCTCACACACACGCGCACGCTTTTAATACCCAACCACCCCAGTACGTATTTTCAGGGCCAGTTCAAGGGTCTGGCACCCCAACCGAACCTATGATACGCACCCCAACTCTACAACATCTCAATTTTCATTCGGTAGTATTCACATAAAATACAAATTTTACGTAACCTAATTATGTACAATAATGGATCATATGTAATATAGGTGAACAATTCAATGAGAAAAATTAAAAATAAATACAATGTATCTACAAATTAGAGACCTGTCATAATAGATCATTCCATCTTAAATAAAGAAATTTTTACCATCTTACCACTTGACATTTTTCTTGTTAAAAAGTTGAATAATTTTAACACCTTTAATATTATGAATAAAAAATAGGGAATTTTATAGTGTGTGTGTGTGTGTGTGTGTGTGTGTGTGTGTGTGTGTGTGTGTGTGTGTTTAGACTCATGATGTGTAAAAAAAACAAATTCACGGATTTGGACTAAATAAAAAAAAATTCCCCAGAATGATGTCACAATCTGTGAAAAATCTTTCATTCTTTAATAATCAGTTGTACTTAGTTTAATTTGTAACATAAATGTAGGTAGAAAACAAATGTTGATAAAATAGCAAGGGGTCACATAGCTCTCCCTGAGCCCCCAATCAGGCTTCCCCCGCAAGGCCGGGGGTTCGGGGATAGGACTCACCGGGTCAGATTTGTTTTGTTTTGTTTTATGTTTTTCTTTTAAGTATAATAAGCAGGTAGACCCAAGCTCATGTGGATTGCTTGTTGGAAACTTGCCCACAGGGACGTGATTTCAAAGAAAAAAAAAAAAAGAAAGAAACGAAGCAGTCTTTATTAAACAACGACTGTGTTTACCAACTAAGCCACGGTCCTTTCCCCTATGTCAATAAATACGTATGCGTGTGTAGACGACTATATGCATAAATAAGACCTTTGTAAAGCTTTCCGTGTTTGGAGCAGAGAGATAAAGCAATCTCTTGTGTGAACGAGTTGGGTTAGGGTTCGCGGTCAGGAGCAGTTATCAGGTCAAAATAGATCTTTATCAGTAGAATACCGGTTTTAACCAGCGTTTATTATTGTCACCGATGGTATTGAGGCAATAGAAAGAGGCGGTCTTATCAAAGCTATTAAGAAAGTCATTGGGCACAGTGCCAGTAGGTATAAGAGTCGAAGTAGCAGTAACAGACGATTATAGAAACTATAGCGAAGGACCCAATATCGAGATGGATGCTTGCTGAGTAGCAGTGCTTATGGTTTCTGTAGAAAGGGAACAGAAAGGTGGCGGCGGAGGGGTGGAGGTAGCTCACCGGTAGCTGTGAATGCCATCAGAAAAACGTAGTAAAAATAGTTATTCTTGCATTTTGATGGCAATAGAGAAGTTATAGTCGCCACGATAATGGAAAGTTAGTTGTGTTTGGTATCGTATTGTGTGTTCGTAATGGGGTTGGAGGGTAATTATTTAAAAGTAAAACTAATTAGGGTGATATTATTGAAATATTTAGTGATATTTCTGGGTGGGGAGATAATATTAAAACCAAAAAGAAACAAAAAAAACATACAATTTTCTCTAAGATCTTAAAAAAAAAGAACGCCTAAAAATTATCGTCCTGTTGATAATTTTTCTTGTGCGCCCCCCACACACCTTATTTCTCTTCTAAATCCACTGCGGAACAGCATTCTGAATTTTGAACTTGAGTTTGTTTACCTTTTGCGCAAATGTATAAAACAAATAAAAATAATATCTGTAAAAAACATTTACAGCCATTTTGAAACGATACACTGTATTTATGCTGTACAACACGTTCATCAACATATAATACGCGTCTATGATTTCAGATATAGTAACTAATAGATAAAAAAGAAATAAGAATTAATCAATTTTTTTTTTTTTATTTCAGAGCCCCAGTCAGGTTTTGGCGACAGCTTGTATAATACATTATTGTACGTTTTGCAGTATTTAACCTAGATAGAAATACATAGCCCTACTACTCGGGTATATTGTTACCAGTTACCACACCCAGTACTTTACCCTAAACCATGACCATCGCGGTTTGCAGAATAACATGCAGCGTGACTTTTAAGTTAAATTTTCAGGGGGGGGACATTACGTGGCCGGAAATCAACGACAAACATGCCACCAGATGCATAGTTGAAAAATAGTTACTTTTTAATGATTCTTATTCTGTGGCTTAGAAAGTGCTTGATTTAAATTAACATTTTTGAACAGTACAAGTTCATAATTTCTTTTCAAATTACATTAGTTTCTCGTTCTATGAGAATTGCATCATGGGACTAAGCCTGTTCTCCCACCAGGCTTTTTTTTTTTTTTTTGCAGAGGAGGTTGGATAGAAACCTGTCAGGATTGAAAAGAAAACCTGTTAAAGAGTAGATTAAGTTTCTGCGAGGTTCAGCGGCCATCTAACTCAGTGGATTAGATTTCTCTCCATAGATATGTCTGCAGGCAGTGCAGGATGATGACACGGCATCGCTTGGCGGAGAGCTTTCTAGACTCCAGTCAACGACCAGGACGAAGTTTTTCTCCCGATGGGATCAACGGCCACGGACTCGTGGCCAAGACGAGCCTTCAAGAGCATCAGCTGTGAGTTGACCTAAAGAGGGATGGGCTCCACCAAGGCTACTTGCCGAAGACACGCTACGCATGAATGAATATGTCTTCGGAAGGAACTGGTCGAGTGCTCAAATGCTCCGCGACCCTACGACCCCACCCGGTCATGAAACGGATGATAATGATGATCTCTCGGTTGTGACCTCTTGGTAGCTTCAGAATTAGTCACAAGAAAAGAAAGAAGACTGCTTCTTAGAAATGAAAGAAGCAATCATTTATTTACCAGGTAAAAGTCAAAAATACTTTAAAACAAACGAATAATCAATAATGGCTAGATGAAAGAACTTGTTTTTATTAATTATCCTTCCTGGTCTCTTACGTAAATAGTCTGCACAGGGTTGATAAGCCATAAAAAAATAAATCAATCATATTAAATTAAAACCTTTTTTTAACCTAAGAAGGAGTCAAATCGGAAAAACAAATAAATAAATAAATAAATATCTGATATACTGAAAAGCTAAGCACAGTACTAACAAACAAGAAAACTTCGTCAGAAACGAAGAAATGAGTACTGAACTGTTATATAATATTTGCTCTCCTATATGGCACTGAATGCTGGACAATCTCCTCATAGATGAAGAAAATACTTCAAGCAACAGAAGAAAAGAAAAGAGTACTGAAGTATTATATAATATTTACTCTCCTATATGGCAGTGAATGCTGGACAATCTCCTCATAGATGAAGACAAGACTTCAAGCAACAGAAGAAAAGAAAAGAGTACTGAAGTATTATATAATATTTACTCTCCTATATGGCAGTGAATGCTGGACAATCTCCTCATAGATGAAGACAAGACTTCAAGCAACAGAAGAAAAGAAAAGAGTACTGAAGTATTATATAATATTTACTCTCCTATATGGCAGTGAATGCTGGACAATCTCCTCATAGATGAAGACAAGACTTCAAGCAACAGAAGAAAAGAAAAGAGTACTGAAGTATTATATAATATTTACTCTCCCTATATGGCAGTGAATGCTGGACAATCTCCTCATAGATGAAGACAAGACTTCAAGCAACAGAAGAAAAGAAAAGAGTACTGAAGTATTATATAATATTTACTCTCCTATATGGCAGTGAATGCTGGACAATCTCCTCATAGATGAAGACAAGACTTCAAGCAACAGAAGAAAAGAAAAAGAGTACTGAAGTATTATATAATATTTACTCTCCTATATGGCAGTGAATGCTGGACAATCTCCTCATAGATGAAGACAAGACTTCAAGCAACAGAAGAAAAGAAAAGAGTACTGAAGTATTATATAATATTTGCTCTCTCTATATGGCACTGAATGCTGGACAATCTCCTCATAGATGAAGACAAGACTTCAAGCAACAGAAGAAAAGAAAAAGAGTACTGAAGTATTATATAATATTTACTCTCCTATATGGCAGTGAATTCTGGACAATCTCCTCATAGATGAAGACAAGACTTCAAGCAACAGAAGAAAAAAAAGAGTACTGAAGTATTATATAATATTTACTCTCCTATATGGCAGTGAATGCTGGACAATCTCCTCATAGATGAAGACAAGACTTCAAGCAACAGAAGAAAAGAAAAGAGTACTGAAGTATTATATAATATTTACTCTCCTATATGGCAGTGAATGCTGGACAATCTCCTCAAAGATGAAGAAAAGATTTGAAGCAAGAGAAATGTGTCCATACATAAGAATGCTGAGGATAACATGGACGGAATATGTGAGTAAAGACAAAGTTCTAGAGAAAATGGAAACTTATACTTAAAATCAGGAAGAGACAGCTGAAAATTCTAGGACACATAATGAGGAAAGAGGACTTGGAAAATATAGTACTCAGAGGACAGGTTGAAGGCAAGAAGGAGAGAAGAAAACAACGTATAATATACTTAGTGACCTTGACTAAATGGATGGCAGAACAGGATTTAGGAGAAATAACAAAACCATAAAATTTATTATGAGCTACAAAGGTCAGGAAATTGTGGAGAGCCATAAACGACTACGTCATGAGGGGGACACGGCACATAAACAAGAAGGCTCCCCCGGCCGTTACCTTTGGCTGACTGTTTTCCACATTCATACAGTTTTACTTTTACTAAGAGTGTTGTGTGTTCAGTGAGAAGCGAATTCCATACAAAAAAAATAATGATTTCTTAAATTAACAACGAGGCACGTATTAACATTAGTTTAATCTGGGACAAGGCTACCATTGTGGTGTATCTAGCGAGGATTTAAATGATTAGTTTCTACGGAAACCCAAAATATATTCTAGTGCATCCCCACCTCGTTGAGAGGGGGCGCAGTCTCAAAATGGCCACCTAAAAGGTGGAATGCTTTTGGACTCAAGAATAACACGATTCACGTCAGTTCTGGGTATGACGATAAACTACATTCGGCTGCAAGGTATCTGATCGGGAGATTAGAGGTTCTGGGGAGCGTGTAACCACCTCTTAGTTGCTGTTGTTCCCAGGTCCACCCTAATCCAGAGTTGTAGTGCCTGCTAGGATCCTAGCTATGGGCAAATAGGGAATCCCCAACCAAAAATAAAACATTACGAAATATTTTTATACTAAAAAATACCAGCAATACATTTTTATATAAAAATTACCAACAATACCAATTTATAGCAAAAATTACCAATAATACCTATTTATAGCAAAAATTACCCACAATACCTATTTATAGTAAAAATTGCCATGAATACCTATTTATAGCAAAATTACCAGCAAATCCTATTTATAGTAAAAATTACCGACAATGCCTATTTATAGTAAAAATTACCAACAATACCTATTTATAGCAAGAATTACCCACAATACCTATTTAAAGCAAAAATTACCCACAATACCTATTTATAGCAAAAGTTACTAACAATACCTAATTATAGTAAAAATTACCAACAGTACATGTTTATAGCAAAATGATCAACAATACATTTTATAAGTTTTTGAAATAAACCCAACCAACATTTAATTTAGACTCACTAGTAAACCAGATCTATATTTATCTAAAGACGACAAGATGACTTCTGTGAAACAAATGAGAATTTTTGTGAGGATGGAATTATGAAAATGATTGTAAGAAAGCAGAAAATGGAGGACCGATACGGTAAATAGATTGTTCAATAGAAGTAATATATGACATTTTAAAAATCCATTTTATATTTACTAAAAGTATGAAGGAAAGTGTTATAGCAACCAAAATATTAGTTTTGCCTCAGGATATGCAGGAAATGTACGGGATTTTGTTGTTACTTTTGCATAACTGTATATTAGGCATCTGTAACAGATCTGTCATCGCATCACACATCTGGAGGGAGTCTCTAATGTGTTTAGAAATCGTGCTGGTGAGTTAGTTCTTGTCTACAGGCGTTCTCGCGCTTAAATAGACCTTTGTTGTATATTTAATCGTGTTTAGAAAGTATGTCAGCTGTGCGTGTGTATCGGCTTGCGTGTGTCGGGTAAGGGTGTGTAGACATAAGGAGGCCAAGAGGAGAGAGAGAAAGAGAGAGAGAGAGATAGTTTCTGTACGACCCTGCCGACACATGTCTGATAAATAGTCAGGCCAGAATTATGTAAGCGCAAAGGATTTGCGCACGCGTGAATAAGTTGTTTTACATGCGAACCAGCGGCAGTTCAGATTCCTCATTGACCTCATATCAGCAACGAATCAGATACCTTATGTAATCAGAAGCATTTTTACATGAGCTAAGGACCAAAAATTGCTTGGTGCTTCCGCAATATTATTCCGGCTTGAATACTATTCAATAACAACCGCTGTTTATAACAAAAAAAAAACAATTTTCAGAAGAATTTATGCAACGAATAGCGCGAGTTATTTGAAAAGCACCAAAATTTCAGGGTGCTATCAAATATAGTACAGAATTGTATTTTTATAGGAATAAAATTTAAGTAATAATATTTTATTTTAGAGTAATATCTATCTAGCTATCTATCTATCTTGATCATAGTACAACAGTGAAATTTGCTCTCGCTCCAACTCTCAGTAACCCCTTGCGTGCTAGTGGCTTCCAGCCTTGCTTTGGGCGAAACGCTTATATACACACACACACACACACACACACACACACACACACACACACATATATATATATATATATATATATATATATATATATATATATATATATATGACAGTATGTATATTTTTGTAAAAATTTCCGCTAAAGTATATTTGTAAAAGGACAGTCTAATGGATTTTATCAACGCGAAGGAAACTTGTTATAAAATAAAATCCTTGCATCTGCTTTGATAAAGTCCCACAGAGGACGAAACACGTCGGATAAGATAAATTTTCCTTTTGTTTTTATTCATACATATTATATATATATATATATATATATATATATATATATATATATATATATATATATATATATATATATATATATATATATATATATATATATATATATATATATATATATATATATATATATATATATATATATATATATATATATATATATATATATATATATATATATATATATATATATATATATATAAATGGGGTCAACACCAAGCGCGAAAGTCTGTTTCATGCTTTAAATCAATCTTCAGGTAATGTCTATTTTTAATCATAATATATATATATATATATATATATATATATATATATATATATATATATATATATTGTAGTGTCCTCCCTCTAATGAGTCTATTGTTGACTCTTCCACTAACTATAAAATTAGTAGGAAAGTAAGCCTCGGGGGAGCAGTTTAATAAATTGGATCCTAGTCAACCAACACACACTCCCAAGTCGTGCAATACTCTTATATATATATATATCGAGTGATATATATGTGTACGTATATATATAAGTTTCATTGAATAATTTGAATATATTGTGTCTACTTACTTTTATACTGATTCTTTCCAGTTTTCTACTCAGTTTCTTGATGTTAAAATGAAATTAATCAAGGAAGGTGCCGTAGTTCTTTTTAACCCAAGTACTTTCGACCTTATCTAAGATCATCTTCAGGTGTAAATTACAAAGACAAACTTATTGTAACTGCGATAAAATCCGCGTCCCGTTGTGAAGGTGATTTTTAAATCTGATGCGGATATCCTGCGTTTTTTTTTTTGTTGAGAGTTTTTAAGTTGCCATTTCACGAGGCTTCGCTTAAATTACCAACTGTTGATATCGCGATTAGTTTGCTGGATCACGTTATTAAAAATATTTAGGCAGCATGCCATATCTGGGCTGGAGCTGCCCATGAATCACTTTCCATTCTTGCGTCCTGGGTAAGACGATAAACTACATCCGCGTCCTGGGTAAAGTGATAAACTACATCCAACAGCAAGGCCTCTGATCAGGAGGTTCTGAGGAGTGTGGAACCGCCTCTTAATTACTGCTTTCCTCTGTTCCTCTTTCCCTCAATCTGTCCTGGGTGTATCAGATTTTCCAAGCCCTCCTTCCTCATTACGTGCCCCAGAAATTTCAACTGCCTCTTTTTGATGTTAAGTATAAGTTTCCTTTTTGTTTCCATTTCCTTTAAAACCTCGTCGTTGTTTACACGTTTGGCTCATAGTATCCTCAGCATCCTCCTGTAGAACAACATTTGTGCTGTTTCACGTCTCTTTAATATATATATATATATATATATATATATATATATATATATATATCCGTCTTGGGTATGACGATAAACTACATCCGCGTCCTGGGTAAGACGATAAACTACGTCCAACAGCAAGGCCTCTGATCAGGAGGTTTTGAGGAGTGAGGAACCACCTCTTAATTGCTGGTGTTCCCAGGTCCACCCTGACCCGGGGTGGTAGCACCTGTTAGGGTCCCAGCCATGGGCAAATAATAAACCCTCAAACTCTGCTCAAAGCACTATGAAAATGCAAAAACAGGTTTTAATACCAGAAATACTTTGTAAAAATATATATATATATATATATATTTCCAACAATACATTTTTGAAAAACAAAATTACCAGTGAAAGAAAATTCTTACCAGAAATAGATATTTGAAGAAAAAATTATTACCAGAAATAGATTTTTGGAAAAAATATTACTAACAATAGATTTTTATTTAGTGCGAACAAAATATTACAAGTGAGTAATTTAAAACATTTGGCGAAAATAAAACCATCCAAGATTGTAAATTTCCTAAAAGAAGTTGGATTGTACCCCAAAATATGAGTAATTGAAACATGGTTCAAATATATATGTATACACTAGCAGCATGGCCCGGCGTTGCCCGTGCTTGATTCAAAAATCGTACGACTTATACCGCAATTTCCTTGCATGAAAAGGAAAAATGGATTGTAGTTTGCGTATCACTGGCTGAGGACTTCAGTGTAGACCACATTTTCAGCTTTTTGTGAGGGTGAATAAAGGAACACATCCTTGCGCCTGCCGACTCGAGAGCAAGCTACGTAAAGTTGGCCGTCTGAGAAGCACTCTTTCCTCTACACCAATGAGAGACAGCGTTTGTCCTTGGGCCTTCAAACCCTTCAAATGGCTCCTTCACATGGTGACTCACAATGGCCTCGTCATAAATCCGGTCAGTTTTAGCTAAAAACCGACATGCGGTTCAGGTGCAATCTGGGCGTATCGGTTTTTGGATTTTATCGATTTTCCGCGCTGTTTAGGGGTCCGTGGTCATGAAACTTCTGAACAACACTTCTAATGGTAGACTCTAAGAGGGTGTCAAATTTGGTTGTAATGCGATCATTCCTTCTGTAAGCAGATCTTTTCGATTATCGATTTTTTCGGAACCTGAGTCCGAACTCAAAAATCGGGCTCCGTCATGTCCTTACGGCAGCCATTTGCAAACTTGTATTGAAAACCGCATCGAAATCGGGTGAGAAATGCGGCCTGGGGGAGGTAACAACGCCCACAACAGACACACAGACAGGCAACATGAGAAATATAGATAGTAGATACACATCTTTTTTACCAGACTATCGCTATGAATCTATTTCAAAATTTTGTTGGCATTAAACGACCCACTGAGGTTTTGATATGCCATAAAACAAAACAACCAAAGAAACAATTTCCCATTCTTGATAGAGTCCAAAAGCGTCTCTGAGTCCTTGCTGGCGAAGAATTATTTTCCTCCCTACAACCTCTTTCTCACAGGCGGAATGTGGCGAGCTTCTAACTGCCCTATCGCTACTTCCTTACTTCCGCTAGATCTAACCTTTACGGCTAGGATCCTCCACACCACTTACATAGTAGCAAATCACTCACATTCCCTCGCTGTTCCATCGGCGAGAAATAAATTCCACTCAAATAGCTTCGTCCACTATGTAACAGAAACCGTTATCTTCCCTTCCTATCTATATAAACTACCCTCTAAAGTACCCCTCTAATTCGATTAGTCCTCTGGCCTTGTACAGAGTGAACCATACTGTATATCAAAAAATACAAATATTTTCATAGCAACTGCTCTGAAGAGCTATTTTCACTGGTACAACATCGGTAAAAGTTTAAGTGTGTTACTAGGTTGGCATCTAGGTCCCACCCTTTCACTGTCGAAACAGTTAAATGTAAACGCCTCTTCTACTCCAACAGCTTCTTCTCTCGCACTTCCCGACAGTGGAACTCCATTCCGCTGACTTGCTTCCCTGATAGCTATAATCTTCAAATACGCAAATGTAATGCCAATCGACATCTTCTGTTGCCTTGATCTTGATCGGCGCCCTTCTCTTTATCCTTTCCTCATACACCCCATTTTACTCTTGCTCTCACGCTCGGTAACCCCTTGCTTCGAGTGAAATGTTTTAAAAAAAAGAATCTTCATTTAAACATGTATCATTTAATAATATATGCATATTGTGTCTACTTATTTTTATACTGACCCTTTCCAGTTGTCTAATTAGTTTATACATATTTTTGTGTATGTGCATGTGTGCGCGGAATTGTGGTTAAGGATGCTCGTGCTTACAAAAAATGATAGAATATCTGGTAAACGATGAATGTGTTCACCGACGAATCCCCCTATATAAAGAGTGTTTCATTAAAACGGATCAAAGTTAGCAGTGAATAAATCAATGTTATTTGTGAAAATTTATTTATTTCTCTATTGGATCATGTTATTTCAATCGTGGCAATTATGTGTGAAAAATAATATCGCCCAAATGTTCGTCAAGGCTTCGGCGGCACACCTCCACTCGATGGTCAAAATTTTTGATGACGTCTCTGCATAGTTGCTCCTCAATCTCACCAATATGTTTTATTATCTCATCCTTCAGCTCTTGAATTGTTGTTGGCTTGTTGGCATAGACCTTACTTTTGAGATGATTCCAATGGATGAAAGCTAAAGGCGTCAAGTCGCACGATCATGGTGGTCAACTGACTTTGCTGTTTCGAGAGATGATGTAACCTGTGAACTTCTTGTTCAAATTCTGTTTGATCGTCCATTTTCTTAATAGGCTTCGATAACTTTAATACTTTGTTTGATTGTTAATTTTTCCATGGTTGAAATTGCCAAAGACTTGTTTAATATGAAAGAAAAAGAAAAAAAAATCATTAGACGCTTAAACTTAATTCACATTTGAAATCGGT